TTGGATACGCTCTGCTACAGGACCACGGCAATGGACGCCTTCGTCTGGTTCAGTGTGGCTCTCGGTTTCTCACTGACGCCGAGACTCGCTACGCCACCATCGAACTGGAGCTGTTAGCCGCCGTCTGGGCCATGTCCAAATGTAGGTTGTATCTGATCGGCCTACAACACTTCAACCTCATGACGGATCATCGGCCACTCATCCCGATCCTGAACCACTACTCCTTGGATGCGGTCGAGAATCCCCGCCTCCAACGCCTTAAGGAGAAGATCTCGCCCTACCTCTTCACAGCTGTGTGGCGTGCTGGCAAGCTGCTCTGCATCCCTGATGCTTTGTCACGAGCCCCAGTCAGCCACCCCACACCAGAGGACGAGATCGCATGTGCTGATGCTACTGCACACCTCAGGACCGTAGTGACCGTGAACACCGTCATCTCAGAAGGGTCTCCACCGCAGGACGCCGACAGGACTCTTCAGGAACTCCGAGCCGCGGCAAGAGCGGACCCTTCGTACATCCGTCTACTGAACTGCGTGACCTCGGGATTTCCCTCCAACCGGTACGACTTACACAGCTCTTTACTCCCATACTGGAAGATGCGGGACGACCTCTATGCTGATGGCGACCTCGTCTTGTATGGAGCAAGAGTTGTGGTTCCTGCCGCCCTCTGCCGCCGCACCCTAGCCCACCTGCACGACAGCCACAAGGGTGTGGAAGCTACGAAGCGCCGGGCGAGACAAGCTGTTTTTTGGCCAGGCATCGACTGCGACATCGCTAGTTCCGTTCAAGTCTGCGAGCCATGCCAGGTGCTGCAGCCTAGTCAGCAGCAGGAACCCCTCATGAACAACGACAACCCTACGAGGCCCTTTGAGTCCGTCTCTGCGGATTTCTTCATTGTGGCGGGAAAGTCCTTTCTCGTCATCGCCGACCGGCTCTCAGGTTGGCCTGTTGTCGTTCCCTGCGGAGGCAACACTACTGCCTCTCATACAGTACGTATGTTCTGTCGCTACTTCCGGGAAGTTGGTGTCCCTCTCCGCCTGAGGACTGACGGCGGGCCCCAGTTCACCAGCAACGACTTCCGGGACTGCATGGAGCGATGGGGAGTTTATCATGTGGTGTCCTCGCCACATTATCCCCAGTCCAATGGACATGCCGAGGCTGCCGTAAAGTCCGTCAAGCATCTCATCCTCAAGACGGCACCCTCAGGCAACATTGACTGTGAGAAGTTTGACCGGGGTTTATTGGAATTGCGGAATACCCCCAACTTCACAGGTCGCTCCCCAGCACAGATGTTATACGGCCACCCACTACGGTCATGTGTCCCTGCCCATCCTGAGTCCTTCTCGAGGGAGTGGCAGGCCAAGACCGAGGACTGCGATCGTCGTGCAGCCGCCCGTGCTGACCAGGTAAAGGCACAGTACGATCAGCACGCCCGACCCCTTCCCAGGTTGAGTATCGGGCAAACAGTTCGGGTTCAAGACCCGACGTCTCACCGCTGGGACAAGGTCGGGGTTGTCATGGGCTGCGGCAAGACCAGGGATTACGAGGTCCGTCTCCCTAGTGGTCGGGTATGGTGGCGGAATCGCCGCTTTCTTCGTTCAGTACCGTCCCCTAGTGGTGAACCCCTCCCCCACATCCCTGTGAACCCTTGCTTGGACGAGAAAAGTAAGTCCTCATTCAGTGACCCCCCAGTTTTCCCACGTCACTCTCAAAGGCTCCTGGAAAAAGAGTCCTCTCGAGATTGCACTACGAGCGTGAGGGGAAGGGAGGTGTAGATATATGAGACGAATATTGCTGTAATATGTAACTCTGTACTATTTACCATTATTGATTCAGGTCTCTGTATTATATGTTATAATTATACTCCCTTTTGTCACTTGAGTGTTAGTTCAGACTTTAGGCACATGCGCGCTGTACGCGCATGCGCAGAGAGAGATACCCGGAGAGATTCCAAGACAGGACGCTGTTTCCCCTGTCTTAACTCCTTTTGTGTGTTTGTCCCAGAAATAGAACTTACGAACTTGACATCAGTGTGTTTCCTTCACACCTGATTATAAGGATCACCTGAGTCTCTCCCACAGATACTACAGTGAGAATTGAGTAGATTCTGCTCGTGGGTTCAGCCCAAGATAGCTGACCTAGGGTTTTCTGAGGTCACGCCTTGTGCGTGGAACTTACCCATCACGTGCTTTGAACATGCTACCTCACAGCTACGGAAAATTACAAGGGGTGATAGTTACACAATACAAATATGTTAACCCATATTTATATAAATAGTTATGTCTATAAGACAGGGGCTAATACTGAGGCAAACGAGCGCGAACGCCGGAAAGATGCCGCACTAGATGTAGTTTTACACACATACAACTTCTGTGGACGACCTTGCCGGTCCCGTATCTGCATTTTGAGTCACCTCAGAACTCACTAAGGAACGTTACATCCTTAATAACTAATAATTTGGTTCATAGATGGATGATCCTCATATTCAATTCCGTGTGACAGCAAAGTAGTAGTGGTAGTATGATATTTAGATAATGGACTTAGAGAAAGTCGAAACGTTGAGATTAATTAGGAAAAATCACACGTGTTGTCTTTATTGTTTGTAATAAGATCCAATTGGATTTATATACATATAAATTGGTTCACTGCCATTACACCATAATTTTCACGTAATTTAACTAATAACTTTGGTCGCAAGGAAAATAAAGTTATCAAAATCATAAAAAAGTATTGGTTTCTCAATATTGTTTATATCACCATGTTTTACTGCAAATTCCGTTGTGTGAATAAAAGTAGTAATAGATTTTAGTTGTTATGATTTAAATCAAATTATTTAAATCACATGATTTAAATCGATTTAAATCAGAGTAAAAAAATCATGATTTAAATCAAAATGATTTTTTTACTAATAACTGTTTTCTCTTTTTATTCTACATGATTGAAAAGTATATGCAATGTAGCAGGCTAATAACATTATTTGGATTCACATAATTATGTACTGTACTATAGTCTGTTCTCTCCAGTTTTGCGAAACGTTGATCATATTCACCCTTCCGAACAGTGGAGCACCAAGAGTTTATCAAGATGATTAAAATGCTAAGACCAGGATATGTTCCACCTAATAGACATCAAATTGGAGGGTCTCTTTTGGATCAAGCCTACGATTCAGTGATTAAGAATTATTCTGAAAAACTTAGTGGGAAAACAGTTTGCATGGCCATGGATGGATGGAGTAATGTCCATAATGAGCCTATAGTATGTATAACTTTAACAGCGGACAACCGTATTTATCTTGTTGACTCTATAGACACAGAATCAAGACACACAGTCGAATATCTGTTGAAATTAGCTGAATGTGCTACAAAAAAGTGTGAAGATAAATTTGGATGCACAGTAAGAAGCTGTGTAACAGATAATGCTGCTAATATGGCAAAAATTAGTAGTGAATTCGGACAAGATAAAGCCATTAAAACATATGGTTGCTCTGCACACCTGTTAAATTTGCTTTCACAAGACCTGCAAATCAAGAACATTAAGGAGCACATTACTGAAATCATTAAGTACCTTAGAAATCATCACATCCCAAGATCTTTGTATAGAAGAGCAGGAGGAACAATGCTAGTAATGCCATCAGACACACGATGGAACACAGTGACAGATTCCATTGAATCTTATTTAAAGAACTGGGAGACCCTTGTCAAAGTGTGCAAAGAAAATAGTGAAGACATTGATAAGAAAATTGAAGGAAAGTTAATGATAAGGCATTAAAAAGAACTGCAGAAGACTATTTAGAGAGACTTAAGCCTATTGCTGTGGCATTGGACTGTGTCCAGAGAGAACATACCCTATAAAGTGATGCTGTAGAAATCTGGGTAAAACTGAAAACTGATATTAAGGAGTATTTAACAGATAAGAAGGATATGGATAATTTTGAAAAAAGAATCAAAGTAGCATTGACACCTGTCCCTTTTCTAGCTAATGTGATAGATCCAAGGTATCAGGGCAGACATCTGACTCCTGAGCAGCGAGACATTGCAGAACAGTATGTGTGCGAGTCTCTTCCACATTTCCTTTCAACATTAATGTCCTTCCATGGAAGAAGTGCACCATTTAAAGAGGTCTATTTTGGCAAAGATGTTGTAAAATCTCTCTCACATTTTGCTTGGTGGCAGTATTTTGCCAGTGATATGACAGAAAATGTAATGGATGTTCCTAGGCAATTATTTACAGCTGTTGCATCATCAGCAGGGGTTGAGAGAATTTTTTCCACATATGGATTTGTACACTCAAAGGTAAGAAATCGCCTAGGACAGGAAAAGGCATGTAAGCTAGTCACAGTACATAAGCATTTCAATGTTCAACTAAGCTAATTTAAATGTTTTGAACTATTTTTGTTTACAGAATGAGAATATTGTGTTGACTTGAAGTTATTACCGGTAATTCTTAATACACTATAATCCTACAAATGTAAGAAAATAAACTTGTTACCAGTTTTATTTTTTTTACAAAATGAGAATATTATTCTGTTGACTTGAAGAAGTTAAGTTATTAATTTTTGAAACACTGTAATCCTATAAGAGCATTTATGTTAAATTTCATTATTACGTTTGGATTAGTGCACTCAAATGTATGATATGTTACCAGTTTTCTTTTATTTTACAAAAAGAATATTATTGTGTAAAATTCCATTGGTGCATCTACGGCATAAATATCTCAATGCCAATTTTCTGTTTATTATCCTGATTAAGCTTTGGTTGAAAAATACTGTTTTTATGGTTTAAAAATACTATTTTAATGCAATTAGTAAAAAAACAAAAAAACAATCGATTTAAAAAATCAAATAAATCGATAATTTTTTTATTAAAAAAAAAATCATGATTTTTTCCAACCCTGCTACGTATAAGGGTTCCCGTACACGCCTTAAGTACATGATGAGGACATGGACTACTGCAAAGCTTCAACAGGCTCTTATCTCTCACCAGGAAGACACTAAATAAACTCACCAGTTGGACGTTTTCTGAACAAGGCACAGAAGATGCTGATGGCCACCAAAGAGCCCAGTCCCACAACTCCCAGTGTAGACGACACAATAACAGTAATCTTAACTTGGTCACCTTCGGACACTGTAGGCTCATCCTCAGGCACTTTAAGCTTATCCGGTCTTTCAGCTGCAACAACAATAAGTGAGGGAATCTAATTGAATATTCACCACTAATAATATGATGGAAGTATGATATTCTGTGGTTAATAAGTTCAGGTTCATATTTAGGGAAAAACTAAGCATTCGTGTTAATGTCAATATGTTAACGTTAACACAAATATGTAGTTAACATTCACTTGTAGAGAGCGAGACAGAATATGAGTGATGTAGTTACATTTTAGTACATAAGGTATATACATACAGTATATATATATATATATATATATATATATATATATATATATATATATATATATATATATATATATATATATATATATATGTAACCGGTCGGAATTTACTGGACTTTAATTTCTCACTTGACTTGGGGTTTATTAAAAATTAATAGATGGTAATGGCAGTGGAAGCGCCCCTTTGAGAAAAATCCCGAACCAGCACAAGAACACTTAAATCTACTAAACAAAATGAATTGTCCGTGACCCGTGGAAGGATAGCGTCTGTGACTGGGATGAATGAGACACACTGTAAAATTTAGACACTTATATTCCCTCCAACACTACAAACACAATCAAATAATGGTACACCAATATGCTCACCTCTTAACTTAAACTTAAAACACTACTCTGGGGACTAAAAATTATACATGATATAGAAATTATTAGAAACACAGGCAACAATAAATTTGAAGTAGTAAGAAATGTTGCTTGCACACATGAAACAGGCCTTAAAGGCTTTCACAAAATAATATCAGTCACTTAGGAAATGGTATTAAAAAATAAGAAATTAACTACTCTACAATGAATAGGCCTTAAGGGCTTTCAACAAAATAATATCAGTCACTGAGGAAATGGTAATAAAAAATAAGAAATTAAATACTCTACAATGAATAGGCCTTAAGGGCTTCAACAAAATAATATCAGTCACTGAGGAAATGGTAATAAAAAATAAGAAATTAAATACTCTACAATGAATAGGCCTTAAGGGCTTTCAACAAAATAATAGCACCCCAACAGATGCACACTTCCTAACCTAACTTAACCACTACTCTGGGGAACAAGGTTATACCTGAGATCAGAATTATGAAGAACAATTAGATGCATTAAAAGAATCAAATCACAGTATCACTCTGGTTCCACTTAATGGCACAAACATTCAAAACAATACTATCAAAATTATTTAGGACTATTAAACTACACACGTCAAGATAATATCAGTCTGAGGAATGGTGTTAACTACACCCGTAATAAAGGAGGGAAGATGTTCCTCTAGGTATCTCCTAGAGACCTAGACTCACGGTCTCAGTGTGTGACCATTAGTTTACTCAGATAGCCTCAGTGTACTCCCAGTGCGTCCATAAAGCGGAAGGGAGTGAGCCAATCAGACCTTGTACAGTTGAGAGAAACTTTAGCTTCCCGTTAGCAAGAGGGTTTCACTAAGCTGCTCGGGACATGTGGTGTTGTGCACCCGAGTGGTAAGAACTGATCACCCACTGTGGATGCTGGTCCCGTCGTTTTAGTTGTCGGGAGCACTCGTTCACTCAAGAGATCCTTTGCTACCCCGCTAAACAGTGACAGGCCTACACTGATCGGTCCAATGGCGACAATCGCCACCCTCAATCATCAACGGCAGTCTCAAACGGCAGTCAATCTCTCGCAGTCAACTCCGGTCAACTCCAGTCAAGTGGGTTCTGACGGAAACCCTGAAATGAACTCACTGTTAGCTCTAGTTTACTTTACCACTGCCCTATCTAACCCTGTCTGAGATCGCATGAGACTTACTTGTTATACGGCAATAGCGCAACACAGGTGACTTGGCCACGTGACTATTTCTGTGACGGACGCGCAGGGACGTCTTGTTTTGTATGAATCCTCCCCGCGACTGAGGGCCAGCCAGCGTCGCGTCCTCTCAAGGCGTTAGCTTAGGCCTACGTGACATTTTTCCGCCTAACTAATAACTCCTTGGGACACCCGTAACATTATTCAGACTGATAAACGATCTATAATAATTTCAAATTCAATAATAGTCCCTTACTTCATGAATCGCATCATTATTAATTCGGTAAATTACATTTAATATCATATAGGCCTAGTTCCGCAATCTCTCGCTACGAGCAGGCAGCGCTCCCTCCCCTCAGATGACCTTGAACGCTCAGTATCACTCATGGCGGGGCATTTGAAATTACTCTGAAATTTCTGAATATTACATATATATATATATATATATATATATATATATATATATATATATATATATATATATATATATATATATATATATATACTGTTTGTATGCATGTATATATATATATATATATATATATATATATATATATATTTATATATATATATATATATATATATATATATATTTTTTTATATATATAAATATATATATATATATATATATATATATATATATATATATATATATATATATATATATATATTGATAAAATCAGGAAAAGGGAAACAACGAGCACCTTAGCTTTCGTCTTTATTCAAGACATCTTCGGAGGCTCTGAAGATGTCTGAATAAGACGAAACTATGCTCCGCCTCCCGTGATTAATAAGATCTATCTTATCCACGTTTTCATTGTGGATCTACGATATATATATATATATATATATATATATATATATATATATATATATATATATATATATATATATAATATATATATATATATATTATATATATATATATATATATATTACACAAAATCAAGGAAAGGTAAACAATGATGAACCTTAGCTGTCTCTATTCAAGACAGCTTATGTACACAAGTGATCTTACAAACATGAGGTTATATATATATATATATATATATATATATATATATATATATATACATATAAATATATATATATATATATATATATATATATATATATATATATATATATATATATATATATATATATATATATATATATATATATATATATTAATATATATATATTATATATATATATATATATATATATATATATATATATATATATATATATATAAAAGAGAGAGAGAGAGAGTAACCAGTGAATGTATTACTTACGGTGTGTATAACTGGGGCAGTTGATCCAGTGTACAAGGCTTCCACTAGTAACACGGATATTGAGCACCTTCCCATAACCCAGAATCAACTTGTTATCGTCATCGATGAAAAAAACTGCCTCCTCATCAGTAGCGAGGAATCTATAGACCTAAGAAATTATATATATATATATATATATATATATATATATATATATATATATATATATATATATATATATATATATATATATATATATATATATATATATATATATATATATATATATATATATAAAACAAAGAAGTATGTCTGTCTGTTTATTTATTTGTTTGTGTGTCCGCACGAGAATCTCGGAAACTACTTTACCGATCTGTAGTGATGATGGATGGTGTTATATGTAGTGATAATGGATGGTGTTATATGTAGTGATGATGGGTGGTGTTATATGTAGTGATGATGAATGGTGTTATATGTAGTGATGATGGGTGGTGTTATATGTAGTGATGATGAATGGTGTTATATGTAGTGATGATGGATGATGTTATATGTAGTGATGATGGATGTTGTTATATGTAGTGATGATGGGTGGTGTTATATGTAGTTATGATGAATGGTGTTATATGTAGTGATGATGAATGGTGTTATATGTAGTGATGATGAATGGTGTTATATGTAGTGATGATGAATGGTGTTATATGTAGTGATGATGGATGATGTTATATGTAGTGATGATGGATGTTGTTGTATGTAGTGATGATGGGTGGTGTTATATGGAGTGATGATGAATGGTGTTATATGTAGTGATGATGGATGATGTTATATGTAGTGATGATGGGTGGTGTTATATGTAGTGATGATCTATATTTATATATATACATATATATATATATATATATATATATATATATATATATATAAAACAAAGAAGTCTGTCTGTCTGTTTGTTCACCTTTCTCCGGGATGCCATGACCTACGTCAGAAACTATGGACGACCAGATCCCTGTATGGACTGACACAACAGGAGCTCTAATGGAAGGCCAGAAAGGACAAGATCGGCATGACATTATAGCGAGAGTATTTCGTCAGAAAGTGATCAAACTCATGGACCTGCTTACAAAAGCATCAATCTTTGGCCCTACACGGTGCTACATGTTCTCCATTGAGTGGCAGAAACGAGGTCTACCACATGCCCATGTCTTGATCTGGCTGAAAGAGAAATTTCGACCGAACATGATTGACAACTGCATACGAGCAGAATTTCCTGATCCAGAAGAAGATCCAGTTCTCTATGAGATCATCAAGAAGCAAATGATTCATGGGCCATGTGGACCATTCAACAGACACTCTCCCTGCATGAAAGATGGACGTTGCAACAAAAACTTCCCAAAAGACCTGATAAAGGATACTCAGAGTGGAGAAGATGGCTATCCTCAGTACAGGAGAAGAGCCCCAGGCGATGGAGGTTTTACAGCAGTGTTGAGACCTGAACACACAGTGAAATAACAGTAGACAACAAATGGGTGGTCCCCTACAATCCCCTTTTGAGTAAAGCATTCAATGCGCACATCAATGTGGAGTTCTGCAATTCAGTCAAGTCCATCAAGTATATTTGCAAATGCGTCAACAAAGGCTCTGACCAAGCGATCTTTGCATTGGAAAAGGATGGGAATCATGATGAGGTGACACAGTTTCAGCAGGGCCGTTATATATGCAGCAATGAAGCCCTATGGAGAATTTTTAGTTTTCCTATACACGTACGATGTCCAACAGTAGTTCATCTGGCTGTTCACCTGGAAAATGGATAAAGAGTATACTTCACAGAAGAGTCTCTCCAAAATCAAATGGCAAATCCTGCTGATACGACTCTCACTGCATTCGTTAAGCTTTCACAGGAAAATGAGTTTGCTCAAATACTCCTGTATGTTGACGTACCCAAGTTCTACATATGGCAGGCTTCAATGAAAAAGTTCCAGAGAAGAGCTTAAGGATCCGATGTTGAAGGATATCCAGGGATAAAGCCAGGCAATGCTTTGGGACGTGTCTACACGGTTCACCCCAACAACTTTGAATGCTATTGTTTGAGACTTAATTTTGCACCACATCCGTGGCCCAACATCATATGCAGCACTCAAGACAGTGAATGGACAAGTCTGCAGAACCTATCAGGAAGCGTGCAATCTCCTTGGCCTACTGGAAGATGATGGTCACTGGAATGACACATTACAAGAGGCAGCAGCTACTCAATCGCCAATGAGAATGAGGAACCTGTTTGCCATCATGATTGCTACATGTGGACTTTCCAACCCAAGCCAGCTCTGGAAAAACCACCAAGAAAGTCTTTCAGAGGATCGGCTTCATCATGCAAGAAGTGAACATCCTGGTCAAGAGATTGAGTTCATGGATGACATGTTTAGCAGGGCTCTGATCATGCTGGAAGACAAAGTGATGGAGCTATGCGGAAAAAACCTGATTGATTTTGGATTGCCTTCCCCAGACCAAGAAGAACCAGTAGCTGCAAACAGGGAGTTGCTCAGACAGACAGACTACTCAGTTGAAGTTCTGGTGAATTTTGTTGAAGAAAATGAGCCCCACCTGGTGCCTGACCAAGCAAATGCTTATGAATAGATCTTGCAAGCGATACAAGCGGAGTAGGGAGGTATGATCTTTCTTGATGCACCTGGCGGGACAGGAAAAACATATTTGATCAACCTTCTGTTGGCCAAAGTACTTCACCAGGGGAAAATTACTCTTGCTGTGGCATCCTCGGGCATTGCTGCAACACTACTAGAAGGAGGACGTATTGCACACTCAACTTTTAAACTGCCTTTCAACCTCGCTCACAGTAAGAATCCAGTGTGCAACATCAAAAAAGGATCGGCAAAGGCAAAACTCTTAGAAAAATGCAGCCTCATAGTCTGAGATGAATGCACTATGTCTCATAAGTTAGCGTTTGAAGCATTGGACAGGACCTTGCAAGACATACGAAAAATTGACCAGCTCATGGGTGGCATTACAATGGTCATTGCTGGAGACTTTCGCAGACCCTACCTATCATTCCTCGAAGCACTCCAGCTGATGAACTGAATGCGTGCTTCAAGGCATCATACCATTGGAGAAGTGTTCAGACGCTCACCCTATCCACAAACATGAGAGTACATCTACAAGGAGATTAGGATGCTGGACAGTTTGCAAACCTTCTACTACAGATTAGGAATGGATCTTCCCTGTTAATTCAGAAGGACAAATAATCATTCCTCAAGGATGTGGAAATGTTGTAAAGTCCTCAACTGAGCTCACTAACATGGTCTACCCAAACTTTATCCACCACTACAAGGATCACAAGTGGCTGCGTGAACGTACAATTCTGGCACCAAAGAATGAAACAGTGGCTGAAATCAACATGATTCTACTCAAACAGCTTCCAGGCAGTAAGACCTCATTCAAATCTGTTGATACAGTTATCGACCAGGACCAAGCAGTCCAGTACCCTGCAGAATTCCTTAATTCTTTGGAGTCCCCTGGAATGCCTCCTCACCACCTCACTCCCAAGAGTGGAATTCCTATAATGCTCTTAAGAAATACTGAACCACCAATCCTCTGCAATGGCACAAGACTGGTGGTGAAGAACATGATGCCACATGTACTGGAAGCTACAATACTGACAGGAAAAGCTAAAGGAGAGGACGTTTTTATATCAAGGATACCTCTCATCACCACTGACCAGCCATTTGAGTTCAAGTGACTTCAGTTCCCGGTTAAAGTGAGCTTTGCCATGACCATCTACAAAAGCCAGGGACAGTCGCTGAAGATGGTTGGCCTAAACCTGGTGTTTTCTTGCTTCTCTCATGGACAGTTCTATGTGGGATGCTCCAGAGTGGGAACTGGCAAAAATTTGTACATACTTGCTGCTAATGGCAAAACCAAAAATGTGGTATACGTTAATGCACTACAGTGAGACAATGTGGAGCCTCCCGGAGGGTGGTGTCCTACAGTGGCCTAGCGAAAGAGCTGCACGAGAATCTCGGAAACTACTTTAGCGATCTGTAGTGATGATGGATGGTGTTATATGTAGTGATGATGGATGTTGTTATACGTAGTGATGATGGGTGGTGTTATAATTAGTGATGATGGATGGTGTTATATGTAGTGATGATGGATGGTGTTATATGTAGTGATGATGGATGGTGTTATATGTAGTGATGATGGGTGGTGTTATATGTAGTGATGATTAGACAATAAAATAATAACACTTTAATGCTAAAAAAATATAATTTGCTGTACTGTTGTAGTGAAAAACATGGTGGAACTTACATACACCGTTATTGGACTAAGTTAGTGTGAGAACATTCATCTCAGCAGTAAAAATACGTAGTAGATGTGAACAACTGAATACATGGTGCGTGATATGATACATACGGCAGAATTATTCACATGTACAAAATATGCACATACCCTCAGCCACATACACAAGATATGAAAGTAAAAAAAAGTGACATGAAAGGGAGAGAGACAAAGGGAGAGAAAGACTGTTGTATCATCCAATAATTTACTCATACACATAAAAATATAAGAATAACTAACCTTTGGTTTGATAACTCCTACATAATAACTTGTATTACTCGGGACAGTAAACCAGAGGTCCCTGTTGACTCGATCACTGCCATCGTTTTGGAAGAAATCTATGTATATTTTGGTCAATGTCCTCCTTTTGTCTGCTTGGAACCACAAGTATTTCGCAGGATTCTTGAAATTTACTCCTTGCCAATCATTGTTAGTTTCGGTCGTGACCCAAGGCGTACAACCTAGGGAAAAGTTGTGGTTTAAATATTTTTGATATGGTACTGATATAATAATATTGTGTGTGTGTGTGTGTGTGTGTGCGTGTGTGTGTGTGTGTGTGTGTATGTGTGTGTGTGTGTGTGTGTGCGTGCATCTCAAGTCTTTGGCAGACTTTTGGGAGCTGAAATTATCTACAAAGTTGCATGTGTATTGAGCAGCTGTTCTCCCTATCCTGCTGTATAGCAGCGAGACATGGGTTACATACAGGAAGGACCTCAAGGCACTTGAAAAATTTCACCAACACATTTTACGTTGGGAAAACAAGAGAACAAATGCCAATATTCTTATGGACATCAACTGTAAAAACACCAAGGCTACCATTATCCATGAACAACTAAGTTGGACTGGGCATGACAATGGGCATGTTACCGGCATCGACGACAGTAGTGCTGGTAGACAACAGAAAATGTATAAGGATAGTCTTAAGACAAACCTGAAAAGTGCCAAATCGACACCCTCACCTGGGAGACGATCACTCCATACCGTAACGCTTGGAGGAGTACCAAGCGAAAAGGTGTCAATACTTTCGAGTTAGCCCGACTGCATACCGAGGCAGACAAGCGCTCGCATTGGAAAAACGCTGCCGCCGCCCCTCCCACACTAGATGTAGCCCTACACACGTGCAACATCTGCAGACGGCCCTGCCGATCCAGTACCGGCCTCTGAAGTCACCTCAGAGCTCACCAACGAAGGTGACATCTTTAATAACTCATATTATTGCATCATAGCTGGATGATCGTCATACTCGTTTCCGAGTGAGAGAAAAGTAGTAGTAATAGTAGTAGTAGTAGTAGTAGTGTGTGTATATCAGCAACATCACAAGACTACTCACCATGGCCATCAGTAGCGAGGGTCAACACCCAGCACAGCGCCCCTAACACCACTGCCAACTCTTTCACCACCATGTTATCCATCAACACTTGTTACTTATCCCAACAAACTACTGACACACCCAACGCCTTCACCACAATAACTGGAACTGGAGTATTTCGTCAGTATGGTTGACATCCTACAAACCCGCACACACCGGACGTAACATCTGTAGGCTATGTGACGTACATACAGAGTGCAGTATTGTAGCTGCCATTACAATCTTCTTGTACTGTAAACTCGATAACGAGACTTATGATAAAACTATTATGTTTTATTTGTTTCACTTATATCTCTCTCGTGTTCAGTTATTTAATTTAATGTCTGTGCGTTCATTATTATCGCTGAGGAGTTGATTTCCTTCCATAACTAAAAAACGTTTTCTTTCTCTCCTTCAACATGGAGTTGTCTTTGTTCTCTCTTCTTTCTCTCTTTATCTCTTTGTCTCAGTCAACCTGACTCTCTATCTTCCCCCGAAGCTTAGAACATACACCGTTCACCATTTGGTGAACTTAATTATCATCATATTCCGTGTGGAGACCCATGTAGTGAAGTTGGTTATTATTATACACCGTGTGGTGAGTACCCATGTGGTGGTGAACTTGGTCATCATCATACACCGTGTGGTGAGCACCCATGTGGTGGTGAACTTGGTCATCATCATACACCGTGTAGTGACCTTCCATGTAGTGAACTTGGTCATCATCATAGACCCTGTGGTGAGCCTCAATGCGGTAGTGAACTTCTTTTTTTATTACGGAGAAGAGCCAACCCAAGCACAGGTCATCGACCCACAACGGGGCCTAGGGGGCGGAAAAGTATGAGTAAAAAAACAAAAATAGAAAGGAAAAAGATTATATTATCTACTGTTCTCCCACACACTCTCCCTTTCTCCCGCACTCCCTTTCTCTTTATCCCACGCGTCCTTTCTCTCGTACACCACGAAGACACCGGAAAACCAGCTTTGTGAAGTGAGACAGATAGTATGAGTATGGAAATACAGAAAAAGGCAGAGCATTACACAGTTTGGCTGTGTGAGGAAAGAAGGATTACTATAACGGGTTATTCTAGTGTGACCGATATCCACGGAGAAACGGTGGACACCGCGGCAAGACGAGTGTTACGAGCCCACGACTTTTCCAGCGGTACACAGGATGCCAAATCCACCGAACATTGCCCGTTAAAGTACCGGTAAAAGAGAGAGAGAGTGAAGCAACATTGCGGCGAAGAGAGAGGGGAGAAAGATTATCAACTAAAGGAGGAGCGTTAATAAGACGAAATGCCTTTGATTCCACCCTATCTAACAGTTGGGCAGAGGAAGAGCCACCCCAGATATGAGAGCAACACTCCAAGTTAGGACGAATGAATCCCTTATATACTTGAAGCAACTGCTCAGGAGTGAAGGAGCTACGGAATCTGTACAGGATTCCCAGATTTTGGGAGGCAGCTTTAGCAATGTTGAGGATGTGTGGCTTCCATGACATATTAGAGGAAATGGTAAGGCCTAGCATATCTATTTAGAATTTGGCATAATGATTGAGTCCCGAAATGTGATTGGTGGGAGATCATCTAATTTGGAAAGTGTAATTGGTAAATACTGAGTTTTATTACTATTGAACTTTACCAAGTTTCTACCTCCCTATTCGGATATGTTGCACAGATCCGCATTGATAGATGTAATGATATCAGTTCTAGAAACAGATCTAGTTTTAGAATTAGGGGGAAGGGGAAAATGTGAAGAAGAGTGAAGAGTAGAATCATCAGCGTAAGAATGGATAGAATTAGTCGTAGTGTGAAGTAACTCATTGATAAAAAGAAGGAAGAGAGTAGGTGAAAGAACAGAACTCTGTGGGACACCACTATTGGTAGAGAAAGGGCGAAAGATCGATCCCTCGACAACTGCCATGGATCGGTTCTCAAGGAAACTAGAAATTAGAGGACAAATGGGGTAGAGAGACCATAAGAGGGAAGATTAGAAAGGAAAGACTTGTGTCAAACCCTGTCAAATGCTTTAGAGATGTCGAGGGCCACGACGAAAGTTTCCCCATAATCCCTAAGAGAGGATGACTGAAGATGGGTGTAGTAGGGGAGCAGATTACCAGTAGATCTCGCCTGGCGAAAGCCATACTGGTGATCCGACAAAAGAGAATGACGTTCAAGGTGACAGGGAAAATTAGAGTTAAAGATAGAGGTAGTTTCGAAAATCTTGGATAGGGATGAAGTTATGGCAATGGGGCGATAGTTAGAGAGGTTGGAATGATCACACTTCTTCGGGGTTGGGCTGAACCGAGGCATGCTTCCAAGAAGAAGGAAAAGTTCGGGTTTTGATGCAAAGACGAAAGAGGCAGAGAGGGCAGAACTCAGCACACTCCCTCAGAACACGAGGGGGTATTCCGTCCGATCCATGCGCCTGGATGACACACCAGCAACCCTACGAGTATAGATTATAGGAAAATGCAGAAGTTCAGTAAGAGGAATAGAGTTTGAATCGTCTAAGATGGAGTTAGAGGAAAGTTGGCTATAGAGCTATCAGGTCGGAAGAGAGGAGGAAAAGAGGGAGTGCAGTAGCTATTACAAATGTTTTTGTTTAAGGACCAGAAGGATTTACTAGAAGAAGAGTTAGTCAGGACAGCGGACTTTCTTTTGATAAAATTCCGCTTGACCCTTTCTAAGAATAGCCTTACAACGATTCCTAGAAGTAATGAAAGAGGAGTGGGGAATAGGAGGAGATAGTTTCATAATTTGATATGCCCTATCTCTCTCCCTACATGCAAGAGAACAGGAACGATCAAACCATGATTGTAAAGTGAAAGTTTTTTGTAGAAAATGGGATAAATGCAATCATACCACCCTGTATAAAACCAGCATTGCTGTCAGCACATACCAAGGCGTCCCGAGTGGAAAAGCAACATTCATCCCAAGGAAAGTCGGAGAAGAATTCTAACAAAGATTGCCAGTTTGCCCTACGATAATGCCATAGTTGGAGTTTAGAGGAGGTGGGGGATGTGGTCGTGCCCAGTTTGATTTAATAAAAATAAGATTGTAATCAGAAGACCATAAGGGGGCAGAAATTGAGAATGAACAGAGTGAGGGGTTAGAGGTAAAACAAAGATCAAGAATGTTAGTAAGTTGATCGTGTCGATCAGGAACGCATGTAGGGTGTTTTTAATTATTTGTTCCAGATCATTAAGTACGGAAAAAGAGAGTGCCTCAGCTCCACCTGGGTCAGCCCTTGCAGAGCCAAGCCACTCTCTGTGATGAACACTGAAATCCCCGAGGTAGAGGATCTCGGTGTTGGGGTGTGTGGATAGCAACGACTCATGGTCAAGAAGTGAGATAGTCAAAGAGTTCTAAATAGTTGGTAGAGTTGGGAGAACAGTATAGGAAACAAAGGTAAATATTCATTGTTGGTAGAGATATTTTGAGCCCTCAAGTGACTTTGTAAATGTTTAAATTGATGTCGAGGTTTGGCTATGGTGTGAGCGGGTTGGTGAAGACGTGTGTATGAAGCAGCGGTACTGAGCTCAGTGGAGGAGGCAGGATTAAGTTGGGTAGGATAGTTCATCCAGAGGTGTGGTATACATTTACCAATAAGGAAGAGAAACAGAAAGATAGATACACACATACACAGACATACATATAAACAGCAGACACATAAACAGGGAATGGGGGAGAAAATGAGAGAAAAGGGGAAAGTTTCAAAGAGACATAGACAAACATTCCCTCTAACCTTCTTTTTGACTGTCTAACTTCATATATCTATCTCCCTTTAACGTTCTCTCTTTCTCTCTTATGATAAATCTCTCCAATTAAATATATCTGTGGCTCTCGCTAACCCTTTCACTGCCTCTCCGTCAAACATTTCTTGTCTCTATCTAATATTTTCTGTTTCTTTCTGAATATTTATCGTTTCTTTTTGGCTCTGTCTAAGTTTCTCTGTCTTTCTCTCTATTTCTCTCTTGCAAAATTTCCCTTTGTAATTCTCTCTCTCTCTCTCTATATATATATATATATATATATATATATATATATATATATATATATATATATATATATATATATACTCTTTTCTTTTCGTGTTTCTATTAGTTGTTTCTCTCTCTCTCTCTCTATATATATATATATATATATATATATATATATATATATATATATATATATATATATATATATATATATGTATATATATATGCAAATATTTATATATGTAAATAAATCACTGTAGGTGCGCGTGATCCAAGTACTGTATATGCTGATAACCAGTTTGTACTCACCCCTGAAGATATATATATATATATATGTCAGTGGTGCCATGTGATGGTCTTAAACCACACTGAGATTCTGGGAGGAAGTTTTCCGCCCGAGGAAGAAGTCTGTTTAGGAGGACTCGGGCAATGATTTTGCCAGCTACAGCCAGAAATGAGACCCTGCAGTAGTTGCCACAGTCTAACCGGTCTCCAATGCTCTTATAAATATTGACGATGGAGGCGTCTTTAAAATCTTAGGGGATTTCCTCCTTCTCCCTTATACTCTCCAGGAGGGAGTGGAGACGGCTGGTAAGCAGAGGTCCTCCTGCTTTATTCACCTCGCTGGGTTTCCATCAGGCCCTGAGGCGTTGTTAATTTTCATCTGTTTGAGGGCAGTACCAAGCTCATCCAGAGATGGAGGATAGCTGAGGTGGGTTAGCTTTGAATGTTGAGGGACGTGCTGGGTAGTCAGGATATCCACATCGGTGTTTCGATTGAGCAGCTAATGGTAGTGCTCTTTCCATTGCTGAGGGATGCTTTTTTCGTCTTTAAGTAGGGAGTTACTGTCGGATGAGCGGAGGGAGGCTGCGCCATGAGCGATTGGCCCATAAAATGTTTTAGTGGAATTGAAAAAATCACACATCTTGTGTTGATCTACAGGTTTTTGTGTTTCACATGCTTTATTTTTCAATCGTTCTTTCTTTAGAGTACGATGTTCGCTCTGGGCCGCCGTTTTCTTCTTGTGGTATCAGCTTTGATCCGAGACTGAGGGTTGTTCTTCCAGTCAGTTAAAACAGCACATTTATCATTGACGAGTATGTTGATTTCCAGGTCATTTTCATCACACAAGTCCTGATGTTTTCTATTGATCTGGCCGAATGCCTCTATGCTGGTTTTTGTC